ATACTAATCTTCGTTTTGTTGCCGCCGTCTAAGCGAGCATATATCATTACGTTTCACTGCTTGTCCGCTGGCATACAGCAAAGGCATCACCGTTTTACACCGTCGTTTTATTTAACATTTGCTTCTAGTTGATGATCTTGGCTCCCTTGTTTATGTTGAGTCTTTATCCCTTCCTCTGTCCTTCCGAACTCGGTTGTCTTGTTTCCTATAATCTTCGAACTATGAAAAACAATTTAATCGACCTAAAATGTTAGATTCCTCAGTGGCAAGTGATCGCCCTGCTCCCTGGTCTGTCCCTTTGGACCCGCTCTCTAGCTCAGAAGTCGAAGCGGGACCAGATGATCATCCTTCAGCCCCCTACAAATTCGGGGCCATGTTCTTGTTCATGATTTACACGAATCAGTAGTGAAACTGTGGGAGCGGGAAACTGTCCCAACCGACTGGAGCCGCCCCGTCATAATCTCAGTTGTCAAAGGAGGCTCACGATCGGAATGCAGCAACCACAGAGGAGTCAATCTGATCGCCAACGCCTCCAAATAGCTTGCCTGTCATCTTTCACAGACCGACTGGCACTCGTGAAAGCCATATTGGTGAAGAACAAGCCGGATTTCGTTGTGGTCGGGGATGCATTGACCGCATATTGATATTGCGTCAGTTGTAGGAGCACCGGCACGTATATTAGCGGCCGACGGTTGTCCTGTTCCACGATATCAAAGGTGCATTCGATTCGGTGGATCGATGTGCCCTTTTAGACTGTCTATTCAGGAAAGGTGGGCCCGAGAAGGATGTAAATATTATGAAAGTGCTTTACGCGCGTAGCTGGGGCAAAGTGAGGGCATACGGCAAGCTGCCACCGCCCTTCAATATCCCCAAAGGTGCAAGGCAACGATGCCCGCTGTCGCCTTTCCTCTTCAACTTTGCCATGGACGAAGTCATGAAAACAGCGTTCACAGGACAAGACTTAGGTGTGGAGTTGCTCCCAGGTGAACGACTTCTGCTGAAACAACCGACTACTACCACAGTGAGGTGTGTGGAGAATGATAGGTGTCCCAAGAATTATACCGGAATCAAGAAAAGATTGATGCATTATTAACTGTCATTTTAATTTTTAACTAGTACGCGTAAATCCGCTGCAACCAAAATCAAGACTGTGGCTGGTCGGTCGCACAAGGCCGTTAGAAAAGCTATAAATACCATGAGTATTTCCTTGGCTGTTGCTTGAAATGACATCAGTTCTCGTTCAGAGGTTTTGTCTTCTTCTATGTTGAGGTTTGGGCTATTGGCTGGGGCCGAATTTGTGTTCGTTCGTAATCTGAGCTGTGATTGCATTAGGAACGAAAAGGAAAGGCATCAGCAGTACGCAATACCGACATTTCGCTAACGTGCAACAACCACCGGTCGTGTGTGGACTAAGGATATTGCGAGGGTTGCCTTGCCCCCAACGCAGGCTCGAACCCGCGACGTCAGAGTACAAGACAAGCTCGTTACCTTTAGGCCGACGAGATATGAGATTCTCATTCGCATGTGTGTGAGTTCAGAATTGCGATAGCAATGGTTGGATCGTAACAATGGTCTAAACGAACGGCTATTTGTAGGAAGAATAAGGTAATAAATGGGAGAACGAGCGGGAATGAAAATTGGATCAAACAGGTCAAGCATTTGCGGCCGTAGCATGGAAAAATTTAATCATTAAGAACCCGCATTACTACAGTGTGACATACTGCTAGACATGTTTGGTTTGCATCCATTAGGCAGACTGATTTGAAGACAGAAACAACCGAAATGGATGCAAGTCGACCCAAATGCAAAAACATTATGATCAAAATCAAGTTGGGAAAATAAATGCGCAAACAAATAGAAGCGAAAAGTATTAGGTGGTCAAGCGGAGCGATTAAACTGCGCACAGAGCTACAACGCCAGGCCAGGTAGATAGCAAGGACGGGTCTGTGAGGAGACACGCAAGAAGCTGACGAAACTCAGCACTCATCACCGAGCTTAAGACTGCGCCCGTGAGCAGGTAACTGAAGGTGATAGTAAAGAGACGACGTAAGCCACTGGCGAAATCCGGTGCACATCAACAGTGCGGTAAGTCTCTGTCTGGACGCCAGTTGATGATCAAATGTAGCGCATCACACAAAGTTAGCTAGGCTGTAAAAATTCACAATGCATGAGGCCAAATCACAGGCGGTTGGAACAAAGCGATACCTATTCTGGAACAAACGTTTAATTAAGAAATATAGTCTAACCCGCTTTATTGTCCACCATAGGGATAATACAAAAGTTGGCGATAAAGTGCAGTGGACAATTAACCGATATTGTCATTTTTTCCAAAAGGGAACCAACCATTGAATTAGTGTGCAGTATATCAGTTGAATTTTGACCTGCTACGGCTAAAATAGGCAATTGTAACTAAAGCTTCCAAAAGACATTTAATCAGAAGAGCGTGACCTATAATTTAAAAATTATAGCGTAAAGCATCTTACCTGGATAGCTGTAGAAACTGGCGCTACTGTATATCTTTACTGAGAAAACAATCTAACGTCAGTTGTACATTATTTTGAGCTGCTACTCTAGTCACTTTTGCACTGATGAAGTCCAATTTGGACAAGAAATCGTTGCCTAGCCGATGCAAAAATCCGCAGCTATAAAAATCATTCACACAGTTCTTTGCTCTTGAATGCGACACACGCCGAGTGTTGTTACCCACGGACCTATCCGGCACGTCATCCTCTGAGTCGCTGCCTTCTTCCTGTTCTAGTCGGTTCGCTAAAATTTTACTGTCGATTTTATCTTCAACAATTGTCAAATCTGAGGTACATTCCACCTCGTTGTCAATGGTGTTGAACTGTTCTGCATTAATGATTAAGATTGTGCAAGCGCTGATCTCGTCCTCAGCGATGACGGCACCATCAGGAAGTGCATCGGACGCCAGGCAACTGAAGCCAGCATGCAAAAAGCAAGCTTTTATTGTAGCAGGATAACCTGTCTTTAACTGTTTGAAACGAACTGACTTGCATCGTGCACAGAAATCTTGGCGTTGACATCCACCGCCGACGATGAGTCGGACAACAAGTTGTCTTCGGTGTGATAAGGAATGCGGTCCACAATTTCCTTCCAGTAACAGATTTTCGGGTTCATACTCGTACCATGGCCTATGAGTTGAAGAATGCTGGTTGTGTTTGCCGACAAAAATTACATTTAAATGTTTTTCAGGCGCTGTGCAATTAAACAAAAACAACTTAATTTTTTGGCCACTTTGGCCTAGCTCCTTGTCCCATTCGAGGACCACTGGATGAAAAGTTCTTTCGTCAGCCACGCATTTTTGTTAGTTCTGTAAGTCAAAGGAAGTGGGTCCACGTCCACGCTATTAAAACACCGTGGTTTATTACTTGTTCCAAGCAAAACCAGTTTCCTTTTATTCGTGTCTGACATAGTCGCGCAGCACAGGAGAGTGATGCTATCCATGGCTTTTTTTCGATCCGCTGAGCTTGTCGGCATAAAAACACAAGGAGCCCTCTGGAGTTGCTCGATAAAAAGGCCAGTTTCGTCTGCATTGTACACGTTGCCATCATCAAATGTATTTAAAAGTTCAGGAAGTCGACCGTTCAGCCAATTTGCACAGACTGCTCTATCCGCGGAACTCTTCGTCATGCGCACGTTTATACACTATTTGATTTCTATGCTTCTATCCTTCCTTCCGTGGCAGTAAAGGTATTTCCGTCTTTCCCCGAATTCTTCTACCCTTTTCTTCAGAAGCAGGCTTGTAACTGTTCGGGTGTGTTCACAAACCGATATCATCCAGTCTTTCGAAGCAGTCTCAACTTCTTCATCCTTTCCACATCGTTTTCTTTTCTGAAGGCTTGTAGTGCCACGCGACAAATTCGGCCGGAGTTCCTTTTCGCTGGCAATCAAGCTGGCTAGGGTACGACGAGAAATACGTAAATCACGCGAAAACTTGACCTACAAGGTTCTTGGTGAATACGTTTTAAGTTTGTTCAAAAGGTCCAACTATACTGTTAAGGGCAAATCCTTTGTTACTAGCCCTACTTGTGTGCAACCAATAGAGTACTGACAAATGTGGAGCGGAAAGATTACCCGACTTTTCTCAGTTCTCGAGTTTTGAATAGGGCCGAGGGTTTGCCCACAGCCGTAGGTACATTTAGCTTGCTCGTGTATTGAATGACGTAGGTAACCTTTCCTAATCTATCACTAACGCCGCCGACATCTTTGTTGTTCTTGACTCGATCGGACTGGCTAGCTGTGGGTTAATCGTAACAAAAGGTAGTCATAGCGAGGGCGTAAAATTGACAAAGCGACAAGAGCACAGCCTACGCAGCTGGGCAATTAAGCGGTGGGATGACCCCCGCAATGGGCAGTCACATGGAGAAAATTTAGCAGATTTATGAGAAAAGAAGTTGCATTTTCAAAAACTGGGTAATAAAGCGGGTTTGACTGTACAAGCGTCATTTAACGCAGAATAGACACCGTCCACCGAGATTTTGCACTTAGTTGTCCGGTGGAAAGAAGTGCCAGGCAGAGGGGATTGAAGGCCAACAGTACAATAAACCGAAGGTCGCCTTAAAGCAACCATATTATTCATTCATGCCGTTAGAAAAGTGGAGAATTGATCCTGGCGTTTGGTATGGAATCCGCGGGCTGCGAGTTAGAAATTACGTAGGTTCAAGTAATCTTGTATTACCCCAGGTCTAAAGTGAATAGTTGTGGTCGCGCGGCAGCATACCATCGGTAAGTGACTGCGGTGTATTGCTGATATCTATATACTGTAGCAAAAGGAATGATAATAGTAGTAGTGCTAGAACACAGTATTAGAGGAGTAAGATGTGGCGTAGGGCAGGTAAGTTACAATGCGTTCAACTTATTAATTGACAACGACCACCCAAGCACGTTCTTTTGAAATACCATTCACGAGTTGTCGTGCAAAAGGATTGACTATGAATGAAAGCGAAGAAATCAAAATAAATGGGTCAGCAATGACGTACTTCACGACTGCAGTGGATCAGAGTAACTAAACCCAGTGCGGCTGTTCTGATTGAATCAATCTTGTTGAAATGACCGCTACAAGTTTTCTGGGTTTTCCATGAGGTTAACGCAGTCCGGAGATATTAGAAATACAAACAACGCAATCCTGAGATGTTCCATCGGTTGTCGATGGCGAACTAAAAGAATGAACAGCGACAAATGACGGGAACTCAACAGAAATAAGAGTTCGTCAATGATTATCGTAGAAAATTAGATTTCAAAGTGCTTGTGTCTGAATTGATGGATATGCGTGGACTGCATTGTTGAAATCGACTCGGCTTTGGAGTTGGTGTAGGACGAATTCGTGGCTACCCGAGAGAAGTTTATACACAAACGATCAACCGATCCAACATACGCCGATGATACCGTCGTAAGAGATTTCTCTACATATTGGAAAAGCCCGATCATCGCTTGTCAAGCTGAGGCATTTATGGCGTTGCCGAAAAGTTTAACTTGTAGTGTACCGGAAAAGACGCTCTTTCGGTATATTGCAACATTGGATTTTACCGTTGTTTTAACCTTCAAAACGTCCCCTTATTTGACTGGCGGCACTTCCGTTGACACAAATTATTTTGGTACGTATCTTGCAGCACTGTTTTTCGCTCTGGTTGATTCGCTTCCTATTTTTGTAGCCTGCCCAGTACACGTTAGGTTCAGTCGGCTCCAACTTCTATATTGTCCCATATTTGACACGGCTCTTACGTGTCATTGATTACCGACTAGTATCCCAGGCTCCGCCATTTTGAACTTGCATTTTCGTGAGCTCGTTCTAGTGACTTTTTGATTCATTACTCGCTATCGTTTTGTTTTCTCACTTGCCAAATATACTTATTCATTTCTTACGATGAATAGTTCTGATAATAGACCATCTACGTACGTGGTTAATGACGTAGAGCTAGCCGCCCCACCTTTTTGGAAGTATGACTCGTTGTTATGGTCTGCGTACTTAGAATGCACTTTTTACAATTGTAGAATTTCTTCTGATAATGCTAAATATCATCAAGTTATGTCTCGGCTTCCGCAAAAGGTATCCTCCAAGGTGAGAGAAATCATAGCTTGCCCTCCTCCCGATGCGAAATATGAGACTTTAAAGCATGCGATCATCCAGCGAATCTGCAGCTACGGAACAGGATGTCTTCACCATTGTTGTGAGAGATGCAACAGCCCCTAGGCACATGCAGCATGGAAGCTAGATTCTCCGCGAAATGTGGATGCAACGTCTCCCGGAAAATACACAGGCCATTCTTGCCGTGGCAAGCGCCCTGCCTATCGCAGCAGTTGAAGAACTAGCAGACCGTGTCATCGAACGACATCACTCAACGAACGAATCTAGAACACTCACTCGACTCAGCCTCGCCGCAGCCCCAGCGACATCCGCGATAGCAATCCACGCTTTATCATCGCAAATAGCGTAACTATAACGCCAAGTCAAGAAACACTCCCTAGACCGTAAGCATCGCAGCCGCTCTAGCTCATCACCCCGTCGCATGAAGCGTAACAATTCAAGCTTTTTCTCTTACCACTCACGTGTTGGTAACAAAGCCCGTAAGTGCGAGCAAACATGCAGTTTCTCCACCGCGAAGCACGGAAACATTCGGGCCGGCCCGTAATGGCGACTAACGGTGTCGGCGAAGCCCATAGTCGTCTCATCTGCATTACGAATTATGATTCCATCGCAATGAGGCTGGACCTTATCGTGGTGCGATGGTTTGTGTGCCTCAATGATCCATTGAGCTATACTGGGTGGTGCATTTTTGCACCTTCAGAGCCACTCATACCAGATTGGTCAATGGTTAGAGGCCAGACAAACTCAGCCTCCCGGTCCTCCAGGTTGGGGGTTGGAATGAGGGTGGCACCTTATTCCTTAAAACCGACTCCTTGTAGCCCAACGCCAAACCCGCTGCCTTGCGGACAGGTTTTTGAACCAAAGGCTTTGGTTGAGAACCCTAATCGTTCTCCTGTCTAGGCCTGGGCAACTTGACAGTATCCTGTCCACGCAATACAATGAATTTCTCTTCAAACAAATTGCTGATGCTCTGGCCACCGCAGAGGATAATCAACGGTGCCCTATCTGCTGCATCGGGCAGGGTGGATAGGGGTTTGGATGCTACTGCTCAAGCCTTCCCGTCTTCTTATTCCCCCTCTTGCGCTTTTTCACCCTTATCGTCCCGTTCCAGCTTCACTTTTATCCCCCCTGTTTTCAACCCCCCAATTCTCGGCCCTCCCCCACCTTGCTTCAATAGTCGCTTGTCTTTTAGTTTCAACTCACAGGTGAACGCGGAGCGTCATTCCTGCACTGTCAACAGGCCCATGTCCAAGCAAGCGGTCAAACCCAGTTCATCGGCTTCCATTTGGAGCCCTCGATCCTCCTTCAGATTGGCATGCCTCAATGTACGCACATTGCTACAGATCGGTCAACAGGCAGCACTTGCCCGAACATTAGAGACCCTCTCGATCGATATCTGCTGCTTATCGGAGACCCACCTGCAAGACTCGAGCTCTGTACTCACTTTGCGATCCCCTTCAGATGACATTAGCAGCACTTTCTCATTGCGCCTATCCGGTGACGATGCAGCTTCGAGCACCGGCCAAGCTGGTGTTGGTATCGCCCTGAGTCCCCGGGCTGAAGCTGCTCTGGTTGACTGGATTCCAATCAGTAGCCGGATGTGTGCGGTCCGATTGGCTGGCTCGTTCAAAGCTTCGAAGTCGCGCGGGACCAATAGGTGTCTATTCGTTATCGCTGCCTATGCACCCACAAACTGTAGCGATGACTCGGTAAAAGACGACTTCTATCATCAACTGAATGAGCTCCTTAGCCACAGAAGAAGCTCGGACACTGTAGTGCTGGCTGGGGATCTGAACGCTCAAGTTGGAAAATTATCCACAGATGAGCTGCATCTGGGCGGCCAACATGGTATAGGCTCCCGTAATGATAACGGTGAGCGGTTACTTCATTTGTGTGAAGATGCTCGCTTATTTCTTGCGAGCACTAATTTCAGACACAACACCCGCCGGAGGGTGACTTGGCGCCCACCAGCCTCGAACCAGCCTTGGACGCAAATCGATCACATTGCGATAAGTTACCGATGGAGAGGCTGCGTCCAGAACTGTCGCTCGATTTGGAGTACAGGTGTGGACACCGACCATGCACTTGTATGTGCTGACCTGCGGATGCGCTTTGGCGGACGCCCACGACGACGTTGTGAGCGCATTGACACCAGCCAACTGGCAAAGCCAGCTGTTCTGAATGCGTATCAAAGTACGCTGTCATGCGAGTTGGATAAACGCTCACTGGATGCAATTGAAGCTCACTGGTCTCATATTCACCAGGCCTTACTAGCAGCAGGAAAATCCTCATGTGGTAAGTCTAATCGCCAACATGAACATTGGGTCTCTTCACAGTCTCTGGAACTTATAGATGCTCGCCGGCATATTCCGGCTGGAAGCGAACACAATGAAACTCGCAAAGAGCTCCGGGCAAAACTCCGTGCTAGCCTGAAGAGAGACCGCGAATCCTGGTGGTCTCATCGTGCAACAGAGATGGAAGTGGCCGCTGCCCTTGGTAACCATCGTAAGTTATTCCGTTTGATACGGGAAACGGGCAGCAGGAGACCTGGTGTTAGTGAAACTATACGTGACGAGAGTGGACAGCCTATCTACAACTTATCAAAACGCTTGGAGCGTTGGGCTGAGCACTTTGAAAGGCAATTTAATCGGCCGGAATGGTTAGATTTCTCGCCGGCCACTGATCGCCCCACTCCCTGGGCTGTCCCTTTGGATCCACCCTCTCGCTCAGAAGTCGAACGTGAGATCGGACTGTTGAAGTTAAATAAAGCCGCGGGACCTGATGACCTTCCTCCAGCCCTCTTCAAATTCGGGGGACCTGCCCTAATGGATGATTTACACGAGTTACTAGTCAAACTGTGGGAGCAAGAGACTGTCCCAACCGATTGGAGCCGCTCCGTCATAGTCCCAATTTTCAAAGGAGGCTCACGATCGGAATGCGGCAACCATAGAGGAATCAGTCTGATCTCCATCGCCTCCAAATTGCTTGCTTCTGTCATCCTTCACAGACTGACTGGCATTCGTGAAAGCCAGATTCGTGAAGAGCAAGCTGGATTTCGTCGAGGTCGTGGCTGCATTGACCACATCTTCACCTTGCGTCAGTTGTTGGAGCACCGTCACATATATTGGCGGCCCACCATTGTCGTGTTCCTCGATATCAAAGGTGCATTCGATTCGGTGGATAGACATGCACTTTGGGACTGTCTACTCAGGAAAGGTGTACCTGAGAAATATGTGAATATTATCCGAGCATTATATGCGCGTAGCTCGGGCAGAGTGAGGGCTTACGGCAAGTTGTCGTCGCCCTTTAATATCTCCAGCGGCGTGAGACAAGGATGCCCGCTGTCACCTTTCCTCTTCAACTTCGCTGTTGACGAAGTCATGGAAATTGCGTTCACAGGACACGACTTAGAAGGTGTGGAGCTACTCCCAGGAGAACGACTTCTTGACTTAGAGTATGCTGATGATATTGCCCTAATCTGTGACAGCTCCCAGACGTGCCAAGCGGCACTGGACAGATTAGCACAAGCTGTCCGTCACTTCGGGCTTTGCTTCGCACCCACGAAGTGCAAAGCGTTCCTCCAAGATTGGTCTGGACCGCCCCCTACGCTGACCCTTGGTGGGGATCAGCTAGAAGTCGTTCAGAAATTCAACTACCTGGGAAGTTGTATCAGCGCCCGTGGGATTGAAGATGAGATCACGAACCGTATAGCAAAAGCTCGGGGCGCTTTTGCTAACCTTCGCCACTTATGGCGCCGGCGCGACATCACTCTTGCCCTGAAGGGTAGAGTGTACAATGCAGCAGTACGTTCGACCCTACTGTACGGTTGTGAAACCTGGCCCCTTAAAGCAACGGACCTGAAGAGGCTAGTTACGTTCGACCACCGGTGCCTTCGTAATTTAGCTCACATCTGGTGGGAACACCGCGTGAGCAACGAGCGTGTTCGACGCCTTGTTTATGGCACAGGAAAAGGAACTGAACCGCTCAGCACCGTTATTTCACGCACCAGGCTCCGATGGCTCGGCCACGTGTTACGCATGCCAGCCCACCGACTCCCGCGACGTGCGTTGTT